CTCAATAAATGTAACTAGTTTTCATATCATATATTTGTGATTATTTTTGAAAGAAGTTTTCACTCTTTTGCCCAGGTTGACCTCAAAGTGGGTGTCCTCCTTCAGCCTCTGATGTAGCTGGAATTACAGTGAGAGCAGGTATATGAGATGTTATATGTAACATTTGGAATAAGGTAAAGAAAGTCAAATATTAAATGTCTGGGAATTGTACCCTTTTATTTCTCTCATGATATTTTATGCCATATACAATTTTAAGAAGACAAAGCTATATATTTTCATATTCAAGGAATGACTGTTACTTTCCCTACCATAACCACTCCTCACCATCTTACACACATTGTGCGCACTAATGCACACAAACAGAGGTACTATAGGCAGACACAGGCTTTTAAACAAAAGCCTTTGGAGGGACTAAATCCTGACAAGATTTGGGGTCCCTATCTGTAAATTTTAAAATGGTTTGACAGTTTGATCTTAAAACAGGTAAAAGGAAGTTTAATGAAGTTTTAGTTTCCTAGTGAGGAAGATTTTGATGTTTTAAACAGTGTAGTATAATTTTGAGATAATCTAATAAATACATGCTGTAAGTGCTTTACTTTTCTGTTGCTCTGAATGTATATGCTTATCTTGCCAAGTAAATGATCCTGTACTGATTTTAAGCATATGCAATGATTTCACAAGACTTTCTCCTACCCGGACATTTGGTTGATGCTCAGTATTTATCTGTTGCTTGTCAGCCCTGATAATAAAAGACAGTGTGGACAGTGGGAATAATTTGGATCTATATTGGGATAATTATCTTTAACTTCTGATTTTTAAAATTCTTTCTCTGTGCACACCAGAAAGTTGGTTTTGTATTTTATACTTTAGGGTTTCAATTTTACTTATAAGACCTTTAAATTAATGTCCCAGAATGCAGTCTGCACTCAGAGTCCTCAGATCCAACTGGCCTCCCATGTTGTTTTCAACTTCTTTTCTGGCATGTGAAAACATTAACACGTCTTTACAACAGTTGTTTCATGAGGATTTGACCTGTGATATTGTGCTACGTTTACCAGATCTGTAGGAATGATGAATTCTTCATTTTACAACTGAGGAATTAGAAATTTTTAAAAAATGTAATAAAATACTCAATGATGTGCACATGTACAGAGAAGCAGCTGACTTTATTTTTTTTATTGTTTTATTATTCATATGTACATACAAGGCTTGGGTCATTTCTCCCCCCTGCCCCCACCCCCTCCCTTACCACCCACTACCCCCCCTCCCTCTCCCCCCCACCCCCTTGATACCCGGCAGAAACTATTTTGCCCTTATTTCTAATCTTGTTGTAGAGAGAGTATAAGCCATAATAGGAAGGAACAAGGGTTTTTGCTGGTTGAGATAAGGATAGCTATACAGGGAGTTGACTCACATTAATTTCCTGTGCGTGTGTGTTACCTTCTAGGTTAATTCTTTTTGATCTCACCTTTTCTATAGTTCCTGGTCCCCTTTTCCTATTGGCCTCAGTTGCTTTTAAGGTATCTGCCTTAGTTTCTCTGCGTTAAGGGCAACAAATGCTAGCTAGTTTTTTGGGTGTCTTACCTATCCTCACCCCTCCCTTGTGTGCTCTCGCTTTTATCATGTGCTCAAAGTCCAATCCCATTGTTGTGTTTGCCCTTGATCTAATGTCCACATATGAGGAAGAACATACAATTTTTGGTCTTTTGGGCCAGGCTAACCTCACTCAGAATGATGTTCTCCAATTCCATCCATTTACCAGCGAATGATAACATTTCGTTCTTCTTCATGGATCAGCTGACTTTAAATCTAAGTCTTTCTGGAAGATGACACAGTGTTCCTAGTTTGCAGAGACTGAAGACATTTCCAAGGTACAAGACTTTTAGTACTAAAAACAGTGCAGTTCCAAGCATACCAAGATGGCCAATTTAATTGCTGACTCTAAGTAAGTGGATTCTTAGTTACCTTATTTTTATTTCTTATAATCTGTTTGAGCTGTGGCATGATTAGTGGAAAGAGTCTTATTTGGGAATCAATGAGTATCCATGGTTATGATTTCAATCCAGTTGTGTGGTCGAGTACTGTACAAATTCTTCCTGGGCTTCAGTTCTACAAAATGAAGAGCTAAATATGTTATTCACACCATGACATCTCAGTGCTCACTCTTAATTCTTTTGAAAGCTCTGAGAGGGTGGAATGATGGCACAGGGGAGTGATCCATTTAAGATTTTCATACTCCCTGGTGTCCATCATCTCTTTGAGCTGGACTCACCAGACCCAAGGGACCATTAACAGGTAGGTTTATAGAACTCAGAGCAGGAAATAGATGGAATCTTTCTTTCCTTAGTAAGCACCTCAACTGTCTTTCTGTTCCCATTCACCAGAGTTCCCCTGAGAAGGTAAGTTTGGACTTCAGCTCTTCCCTCATAGAGACCCTCAGAAACCACATTCATAGCTTCAAAATCCTACAGTGACTGGGGTACAAGAATTTGAAAATTTTCAGTTTCTGTACCTCACTATACCTACACTGTTCATGTAGCCACTAGTGCTTGCAATTCTACTATCCTGCCTTATCCTACAATTTTGTTCTGTAGGTCCTAGCATGTATAGCAAAACATTTAAGCTTGTCTTGGGCATGAACACTTTTGATTGGGGTAAATGCCTCATTGTGATTAACTCATACTCCCAATTATTTTCAGTAGACAGTAGATAAAATTCTTATACCCAAGAAGAAAGCATTTCATTGGGAAATGGAAAGTAGGAATACAGTGGAGGCAGGAATGGGAAATTTCAGTCTCTAAAGACCCTTCTTCATTATTATTCTCTCAGTTGTCATTTATTAAGTACGTATCTGACACCAGGTCTCTGAAAATACACAATAATATTTCAAACTGTATTACTTGGTCTATTCTGTAATGTGAGAAAAGTTATGAAGAAGTTAACTAGGTTCATTTGGTATGTGGCAAAGTTGATATCAGAAATCAGAAAATTGGGAAATTCCTTTACTTATAATTATTTTACACTCAAAATGTTAGTTACAGTGATGTTTTCCTAAAGTGTGTTATCAATTTAATAAAATTAAAAAAAACTAAAACTAGAAGCAGTAACTGCTGAGCCCTAGCCTCAGGCTCTATATTCCAACTGACTTCCCTAACTATTTTGGAAGAAACTTGAAGAAACAAAAACAATCATTGGAGCTTCTAATTTATCAAGGGACAAAGATAGTAATCAAGTAACCAAACAAACATGGCACCATAACTATCAGGTGCAATAAAAACATTGAAGAAAAATACATGTGAAGATATGTAACAGAAAACTATAAGCAGAAGAAATAATGAATAATTGGAATAAATGGATGATGAGAAGTCTCTATGTGCTGTCATTGTTGCTGCTGCTCTATACCAGAATTGGAATTAAGAAAATTCCAATTCTTAATTGGAATTTTATTTCAAAAGACAAAGGGATGCATTGAATCTTTTTTAGTTAGAGTGTAACATAATTTTAATCATACTGTAAACAAACAATTTGACTGCTTTATGTAGAGTGATTTAGAGAGAGTAATGAACACTCACCCAGTGTACAGTAAAGAAGGTTCTGTCAATATCCTGGCTAAAGATTATGAGGAATGGGTGAGCTTTAGGAATGAGAGGAGAGAAGTTAATGTTAAGTATATACTAGACAACAAAACATTAATTAGGTCTGTGAATAGGATAGGTTGAGTATAGCTAGGTGTGCCTGGTTTTTTCTCACATGAGTACTTGGTTACATGGTGAAGGAATTTAATGAGATGATGAATACTGAAGAGGATGAAGTAAAGTGATAAAAACTTACACTTTGCCCTTGTTATATCTGAGATAACAATGACTTACTGCAATTGACTGGGAATTGATCTGTGCATCCATAGCTAGAATAGAAGCCTGGCCTAAAGTCATAAATTTAGGATCATTTACATGCAGAAAAAAAGTTAGGAGGGCATTATGCATAGAAAAAAAATTGAAAATATAGAAGTAATTTTGAAAACATAGTGGTGAAACTGAGCATAGAAATGGGTGGTTACAAAAAGGATATAAAAATAATACACTTGTTATTGCTGCTTGTTCATTTCCTATAATTTAGCTCTGAAATTGATCTTCAATGAGGAAGATTTTGGTGAGAGTAGTACATGTTTGATTGTGGACAAGAGTAATGTAAAACTAATTCTCAAAATTGGATGCCTATTTGAATTGCCTGAGAGATAAAAAGAAAAAAATGCTCATTCCCCAGCTCTGTTTCCAGAGTTTGAGATTTAATGGTGTGACTTGAGCAATGCAGTTTTTAAAAGCTTCTCAAATAAAGCTAACAAATATTGAAATTTGACAATCTTAGATCTATAGAAAGAAAAAAATATCATGTGATCATATAAGAGAGAAAACCCAACAAAAAGCAGGAGTGGAAGAGCATGGAGCTATGGGTCTCTAGAGTTTAAGTGAGAGGTTCAAGTAACAAAGAGAAGATGAGTACCTGCAATGATGTTAGAATGTAAGCAAGAGGGGAAGACTGCTCAAATGTAGTCAAAAGGTGCCACGACTTGCATAAAGGAGAAAAAATTAGTAGGGGGGATAAGGTTAAAAAGAAGACTTCATTATTGATTTATTTTGTCTCACTTAATGAAGATGGTGATGGCTAAGAACCAGGAGAAAGGAGAAAATCATTTCCCATCATTATAAAATAATTTAAAACTCTGTAAAGTGTGTGGATATGGAAAAATGAGAAATAATGTCCAAAAAGGAATCAAAGGCTTTCGTTGGGTAAAAAGCTAGAGCCCTTGAAAGTTCTGGGGATAAGGCCAGATATATAAGATCTGAAATGTAATCTTGTCTTTCCTTACCTTTCCATGGATTTTGATGTTGGTATCCAAAATCATTGTCAGTTTTTTCTTGAGATATTGAGTGCACCTTATTCCACTGTCTGACCTCATTTCATTCTGGTTGTATTTCCCTAAAAGTCATTGAGAAACCCTCATGAAAAGCTTTGGGACTAACATCTCAAGTACTACCAGCTTCATACTAACAGGCTTTCCAGAGATGAAAAATCTTGAGCATTGCCTGGCTGCCCTCCTCCTGCTGCTTTATGTTATCTCCATCCTAGGCAATTCCCTAATTCTCTTCATCATAAAGGAGGAGCAGAGTTTGCACCAGCCAATGTACTACTTCCTGTCTCTTTTGTCTGTCAATGACTTGGGGGTATCTCTTTCAACATTTCCCACTGTACTGGCTTCTATGTGTTTTCATATCACAGAGACTGCTTTTGATGCCTGCCTGTCCCAGATGTTTTTCATCCACTTTTTCTCCTGGACAGAATCTGGGATCCTGCTGGCCATGAGTTTGGACCGCTATGTGGCCATCTGTAACCCCTTGCACTATTCCTCAGTGCTCACTGATGTCCGTGTGGCCCACATGGGGCTATTCATCATCATACGCAGCTTCTGCATGGTCTTCCCACTTCCCTTCCTCCTGAAGAGGCTGCCCTTCTGCAAGGTCAATGTGCTGATCCATTCCTACTGCCTGCACCCAGACCTGATACGCCTGCCCTGTGGAGATACCACCATCAACAGCATGTATGGTCTATTCATTGTCATTTCTGCCTTTGGTATAGATTCAGTGCTCATTCTCCTCTCCTATGTGCTCATTCTGCGCTCCGTGCTGGCCATTGCCTTCAAGGAGGAGAGGCTTAAGACACTGAATACATGTGTATCACACATCTGTGCTGTGCTCATCTTCTATGTGCCCATGGTTAGTGTGTCAATGGTCCATCGATTTGCAAAGCATGCCCCTGAGTATGTTCACAAGTTCATGTCCATTGTCTATCTCTTTGTGCCTCCAATGCTCAACCCAATTATCTATTCCATTAAAACAAAGGAGATCCGCAGGAGACTACACAAGATGTTATTGGGCCCTAAGTTCTAACCAGGCAGGGATTTTCTGAAGTGCCACACATCTTAGGAATCTTGGTTACTGTTGATGTTTGGGTGTACCAGCATAGCACGTTATGCTTTTAAATCTCCTTCTAGGCATGGGCCTACAGTAGAGTGTCTGGCATTAGTAGCATGATGTAGCCTCATTACAACTTGTATGGTATAAAATTTAAACCTGCTTATAATATTTTGTATTGTTTATAATATTATGTGTTCATAATATTTTGAAGACTGAGAAATTTTATTCAGAAATTATTTTGCAAATAAATCTGTATCTCTTCAAAATAAATCCAAATTGTCCGATTTATACCTGTTATTTTAATGTCATAAAGATTTAGTTATACATTTTTTATAAAAATTTCCTTATAGATATTTGGATTCAGAATGTTGTGTTTCCTTTTGAGTACAATCATTAATCTCCATTTCTTGTTGAATAGTTGATGCGTTAAATATTTCCAGTCTAGTGCCTATAACCCAGTTATATGTGGACTGGGTTATATGTAGACTGGGTTATATGACTATGAGCAGGAATTTCTTTTTTGAGTATTATTTTTATTTTACTTACCTAGTCTACACTTTCAAAAATTGTTTACAAACTCGTTCATTCCCAAGTTTGTGGGATAAAATCACACAATGGGATTTGTTTTCCTAATGTTATAACAAACACAGGAGAAGACACTTGACCTTTTTCAAGTTTATTCTGCTCAACATTTACAGTTGAATTTGTCTCAGTCAATATTGGACTTAACTATGACTAATGAAGTTGACTGTCAGTCATGCTTGTTTATAAACAACTATTTAAAATTGCAAGCAGTAATGGCCTTAAAAACATACTCTAGTGGGTCTCAGCCTTTTTTCTGCCCTCACACAATTCATATAAACATTAATAAACATCTACCTGTAATACCCCTCCATCACACTGAAGCAATTCAAAATGAAAGACAAGTACTACCTACCCTCTCTCATATGGGGAAGTAAAAAAAGTGACCTGAGTGTTGAACAGTGACTACGAAGAGGTTGGAAAAATAAGCATGGATAGAGAGGCTAGATTTGATCAGTACCCCCTCTATTCATGTATTGAAATATCACATCTTTGCTATAATTAATATATGTTAATCAAGAAGAAAAGATTTTAAAAAATGATAGTAAGAAAATCTTTGGAGATGTTGACATATCCTACCCTTCTCATAGCTTTTCAGATAGGTTTTACTCATGATGACTTATGACTTAATCACATGGTAACCAGTCCTAACACCATACTTACCACATACATCACAGGTTTCACTAAACATTGTTGAGTGAATTAATAAATGAACAAGCTATTATTCCATACAAGCAAACAAAGAAAGAGCTAACCCCCCACAAAACTCCACTGTAATTTACAACTGGGGTTGAATAAAGGAAAATGATCAGTGTCTCTGCTATGAAGGAATGAAGGTCGAGAAGCACATTATGAATTTTCTGAGCAAAACGGCTCAGTAAATGATGTAAACCAGGAGGCTGTCTGATATCCAGCTCTACCTTTTGTATTTTTATTAATTGATATCTATTCATTTAAGCTTGCATGTAGTAATATTTTGGGTTAGTGTCACTTTCCTTTAGAGAGAGATTTATAAGATGTCTTAGCTGGGAATCAAACTTAACACTTGAAGCATGGTGGAAGCTTATTTAAATTGCAGTGAAATATCAACTATTTAGGTGTGATAAGATAATGTATGAATTTTACATGTAAAAATCAAATCAATCAAGTAAATAATCACCCAGTGGATACTTATTTCTAGTATTTTCCCACATGTATTTGATGAGTTAGTTTTCCCTATACAATGGAAGAAAATAAAAATTACATTTTTTGTTATAAATGTGAACAAAAACTGCACCCCCTGACTCTATGACAAAACTATGAAACCAAATTTCAGTTTCTGTAATTCATGTCTAGTTGCTGCTTGCTCAAAAGTCCTCCTCTTCTCTGCAGAGGGTCAGTCTTTGGCAGTGGCTATTAGCTTCTTGAGGTTAGGATGATGAAAATTCTCAAAGTATCTGCAAACTTCATAAACTATTTGTTATTTCTAAGTAAACTGAAAGTGTGGAGGAGGAAATGCTCTGTTCAGGTGCCTGGTTGTTTGTGCTCAAGGGTACAAACAGTAATAAAGAAATCCTTTCTTATCTGAGAAAGCAGTAGGACAATAGAGGATCCTGAATCCATAATGCAGCAGCAAAGTAGCAAACTTGTGGTTAATAATGGAGTATTGGATACTTTTCTGAAGAGGAAATGCTCTTGCTGTGTATGACCTCACTCAGAAGATGAACTCTCTCTGCCCTCCTTTTACTATTACTGTATAAAATCACAGGCTGAGCAAAGAGTACTTGCAATACAACTGAATTTCCCTGTAACAGTAAAACCCTTGTGCCCTGACAGAGCTGATCAGATCTGGAGTTCACTTCATTGGAGTGGGGCAGAACCTCTTCTTGCTCTGCATAGAAAACGAGACTGAAGGCTAGTCACGTCTAGGGGCCTGGTCATTAGCTCCTTTTTCCAAGGACTCACTTCTGAAGATTTTTCCCTCTATCTAAGTCACACAAATTAAATCCATGGAACTCCAAGAAATATGAATTTGTATTTTTTTTCAAGTTCTGTATTGGATTTTAGTTATTTTAGTCTTTCAATCAGTCTTATCTATGAGATTCTGAGCTAAGAGTCCTATTCTACCTTGTTTTTCCAGTCTCTCTTTGTCCTCATTGACACTGGCCCTGGAGGTTGAGAGATGCACTCAGGATGAAGCAAGACAGTAGCAGGACCTTTACTACTCGATATTAATTCCATAAATGTCAAAGTAGACCCCTTACAATCTTACCTGGACTATATTCAGAATTTCATTTTCTTAAATTAGACATAAGCCTAAGATAACTTAAAAAATAAAATAATTTTTTGACTTGCTTTATCTGGCTCAAATTAGATAGTTTTTCATTTCAATGTGTGAAAATATAGAGTTCAAAGAAGATAAAGTTAAACAAGAGATGAAAGCAGTCCAAATCAAGGTCATAAAAGAATGCATGGCCTTAGCCTTCTTAAGCTTCGCACATAGAGGGTAGCCCTAGGTTTTTCTTATGGTACATGCCTAGTGAGAGAATTAAAAGGTAAAAAATGCCCTTTCACTTAGCCTTACAAAGCAGTAACCCTTCTAATAGAGGAAGTGATAATAAAATGGAATGAAGCTGAGGGTCTTTTTCAGAGGCTAATAATTTCCTGCTTCTCCTGTTTTCTCCCATTATATCATGGGATTTCAGAGTCAGGTCTATAGTGCAATGAATGTCTCCCTTGGTTTCTATAAGATGAAATTGGTAAGTTTGCTTTCATTTGCCATCTTGCATATGACTTGGGTTTACATCTGTATACTTATTTGAAACTAAAATTCAAGATGTTAAAATTATTGTTATTCACTATTGAAGTAGGAACGTCTTATATGAATCAGTAATGTTACATTTAAATTGTGATCATACTTTACTGCAAACCATTAAACACCCCAATTATTTTCTACTTGAAATCATGTTGAATTATGTGATCCAATCATTTCCCTAAAATAATTTATTTTCCCAGGGAATGTATAATATGACCTTCTTACTATATTTACAGGCATAGCTAGAAAATTTGCTCCCAATCACTTACATTATCTTCATTTAGGAAAAGCAATATTTGTATAGTCAGATGACACATTAATATGGGAAACAGATCATATTGAATCTTACACCTGTTATCTGTGTAAGTCTGAATAATTAATTCCTTGTACCTCAAATTATTGATTTAAATACTAATTGAACTAATGAACATGCATAATTTAGAGTAGAATCAGACATATTTAAGAATTGGATGAAATTAAATATTATTTTAGCAAAATTCATTATTGTTGAAAACAATACCTAGCTCAAAAAAATCTTCCTGGTAACGTTTTTGCAAATTTTTGCTCAACCAACTTCAATATTTACCTGTGTATGATTATCATTATTGTTTACTACATGTTCTATTCATTTTGACCTCCTTGTTTTTAAGTTTTGTACCTATATTTCCTCATCTCATAACATCTCCCCAAGTACTTTTCCCAACAAGTACTTGATGATGATGATAATGACAGCGTCACTGATGAAAGCTTGTGGCCACAATAAACATCAGATCCCAGAGACAAATGTAGAAGTCACATTTTGATGCGGTGAAATATGCGGATGATGGCTTGACGGATCTCCTTTGTTTTGGCACTATAGATGAGAGGGTTGAGCACAGGGGGAACAAAAAGGTAGACATTGGACATGAGGACGTGTATGTAGCGTGGTGCATGTTTCCCAAAGCGGTGCACTATGGAAACCCCAATCATTGGCACATAAAAGGCCAGCACAGCCAGTATATGTGACACACATGTATTGAAAGCTTTGAGGCGTTCCTCATGGGAGGCAATGGCCATAACAGAACACAGAATGAGCACATAGGAGAGGAAGATAAAAAACAGGTCCATACCAAAAGTGGAAACAAGAACCAAGAGTCCGTAGATGCTGTTGATGGTGATATCAGCACAGGCTAGCTTCATCATATCTGGATGCAGGCAATAGGAGTGGGAAAGAACATTGGATCTGCAGATAGGCAGCCTCTTGATAAGGAAGGGAAGAGGGAAGAGGGTGATGAAGCTCCGAGCAGTCACAGCTAACCCCGTTCTAGCAATGATATCATTTGTGAGTGGCATAGCGCAAGGGATCACAAATAGCCACATAGCGGTCAAAGCTCATGGTCAATAGGATACCAGACTCCATCATGGAGAAGGAATGAATGAGAAACATTTGGGCTAGGCAGGCATCAAAAGCGATGTCATGGGCATTGAAACAGAAGGTTCTGAGAACAGTGGGCAGTGTGGCCAGGGACATGGCCACATCACTGAAGGACAACATGGACAGGAAGTAGTACATGGGTGCATGGAGGCTAGACTCCATCCTCACAGCCTGCAGAATCATTGTGTTTCCCCCAAGGGCCACAGCATACATCACACAGAGGGGCCCTGCCAGCCACGGATGAAGGCTCTCCAGACCAGGGATACCAGTTAGGAGAAAGGAAGCAGGGTGAGTTACATTGAATGATCTCATGGCAGAAATAAACCAGGGACAATTCTAAGATTTGTACTTACTGGAGAATAAGAAAGGATAAAACTTAAGATGTGTCCACAATCAGAACTGACACATTCATTCATGAAATCACTGATTTGAGTATAAAGCAGGAAAACAACTTTTCTTCATTTTTTATCATTGTACAGCAGGCTGGGTTCTCTGTTTTATGGAAGAAGAGAGATATATCCAATATATCAAAAATAGTAGTTACTTACAAGGAATATGTCTCTTTCATAATATTTACAGCTTTTATGCATTTAGAAGTGTCATTGAACAGAAATATGCTAATTATAATTCATAAATAGTCATCATAAAATGGGAAGTAGTCATCAATTGCTCATTATATGTGCTTAACATTTCTTTTAAAACATTGTTTAATTCAGATGTGTCACTAATTAAGGAAACAATTCCCCAGAGTTGGTTTAAATCAAAGTGAGTGCTTGGGTGACAAGAAGGGACAGTGAGGTGTGGAGACGACTGACTATCTCCAGACATCACCTTTCATTGAGGGTTTATTGCAAAAAAATATAAAATTAAATTAAATTAAAAAATAACAGAAATGTATATTTGTGCAAAGGCTCAAGACACAAGACTTTTCCTATTTTGGGAAAAATTAAGAATCCTACAGTTCACTATCAGTTCCTATCAGTTCACTAACATAATGGAGGATGTTGTTCCAAATACATGACTGTGACATGACATGTCACAGTCATTCTTACTGTCAAAATCACATTATGCACAGACACCTTCATGTACCTTCACTTCAGTTTTATATCAGAGTTCATTCATTCTCTAAAAAACCACTTACCCACCCTCACTGACTCACAATCCTACACTTACACAAATCTATTCTCACACTCTTTCTTGACCCTGCTACTTTTTAATGTGCCACATCTTGTTATCTCTCACTCTCAGTCCACACTGACTCATAGGCACTATTTACATTTGTGAACACACGCTAGTGTCTATGTAGGTTTGTTTATTAACACAGCAATTCTCTTTTTACCCTTGTAGTTTGTCCTCTTTATTAATCTACTCATCCACATCAGAGCTTTTATTTTAACCATTATATATTATATTTACTTACACTTTCTCTTATCCTGCTACTACATATTTCTTTATTCCTATAACCATTTCTTTATGAGAGTGACTATATTGTTTATATTCTATCACGCAGATGTTTTAGAAATACTTTGGTGTTCATCGCCTCATGGTGGGTGAGGGCAGAGACACCTAGAAGATTTTTGACCTAGCAGACCTGTTTCAGGATTTAGAGGCAACCCTACTCTTTTTTTATTCATTTATTCACATGTGCATACATTGTTTGGGTCATTTCTCCCCCCTTGCCCCCAGCCCCCATCCTCTCCCCACATCCCCCCTCTCTTCCAGGCAGAATCTATTCTGCCCTTTTCTCTAATTTTGTTGACTAGAAGACATAAGCATAATAAGAAAGACAAAGTGTTTTTGCTAGTCGAGTTAAGGATAGCTATACAGAGAGGTTCCTAACATGGCTCCCACGTACAAATGTGTTACAACCCAAGTTGATTCATCTCTAACTGATCTTTACACTGGTTCCTGATCCCCTTCTCATGTTGACCTCGGTTGTTATAAGGTTTCTGTGTTAGTTCCTCTGGAGTGGGGACATCAAACACTTTGATGTATTGAGTTTCTACCTATCCCCATACTTCCAATATGTGCTCTCCCCTTGTCATGTGACGCAAGTCCAACCATATTGTTATATTTGCCCTAGATCTAAAGTCCTCATATGAGGGAGAACATATGATTTTTGGTCTTCTGAGCCTGGCTAACCTCGCTCAGAGTGATGTTCTCTAGTTCCATCACTTTACTTGCGAATGATAAAATTTCATTCTTCTTCATGACTGAGTAAAATTCCATTGTGTATAAATACCATATTTTCTTAATCCACTTGTCAGTAGTGGGGCATCTTGGTTGTTTCCATAACTTGGCTATTGTGAATAGTGCTGCAATATACATGGGTGTGCAGGTGCCTTTGGAGTAACCTGTGCCGCATTCCTTTGGGTACCATTTCATCCTCCATAATCCTGTGCCACTGCTATTGTGGGTTCTGGTTGACTATAAATGAAGGATATGGAAGGATATAATGAATATTTACTTGCCAGGAATGCTATGTTTCAGTTCTGCTGCTGTCAACTGTTCAATTATTTGCACATTTAATGCTTAGCAGATGTGGAAACTGAGGCTCAGTCATGTAGTTTCTGGTAAAGATGTGGTAAGACCACCATTTACTTAAAGATCTATGTCACTCTTCTATTCAGGTCTTGGTGGCATCATTAAGGCACTGGGTAAGAAGGCAAGAAAGTAAAATTAAGGTATGATTTTCTAGAAGGAGATTTCTTAGGTAGCCTTGAACAAGGATGGTGAAGGGCTCAAGCAGCTACCTGTGATGTAATCCATGGATCCAAAGCTGGACTCAGTTTCCTCTGCTGTTGGGACCCAGAACCTTTATGTTACTGAAGTCATATAGGAACCAGGGTGGGTTAAGGGATAGGGCTCTGTTTTGGGGCTTCAAGACTCTTGTGGTATACCACTGGCTCTGGCACATATTGACTGTATGGTTCTGGAAAAATCTAGTGCCAATTTTGACCTGTGTTTTTTTTTTTTTTAATGGCTGTTATTCTTTAAAGGACACTCTCTGGGATCCTATGTGGCTTTGATGTTCTTTTATGTAACTTTTAAATTTCTGCTTAAACAATGAGTAATGTGAAGGTTTGGTAGGGGCTAATAGGATTCAGAAATAAGGTAGGTAAGGTGTTTAGAAAGACATGCCTAAAGACCACAGATATATATCTATAACATAAGTAGTAAAAGACTAGAAATATTTAGGAATTCAAGCTTCATCTGAAATCATGACTATCTAATTTCCCCAATTCTTTTAATCTCCTGGTGACTTCTGTATACTTTGTTGTCTTAGTCCTCATAAGGCAAGAGCAAAGTTATAAATTGTTCTTCAGTTGTTGGCTTCATGGATGTCTGAACTGGCTCTAAGTTCTGTATTCTGAGTCCTGCTTCACTTCCTGAATTTGCAGCAATGTTACTGTGTTATAGAAACTTTGTCCTTTGAAGCTTGGAAATTGATGATGGCAAGTAAGTGATCTAGAAAAGTACAGGGAATTACTCAGAGCTACTAAAGCAGTTAGTGGAAATGCCAGAACAAAAGCCAGGTTTCCTACTCCTGAGCTTTCCACATGCTCTTCTTGCTCTACAAAGAAGCTGCTTTCACATATGCTCCACTTAGTTTCTTTCTTTAATTATCCTTCACCTACTTCTGCCCATTTAACATTCCCTTACAGCAGAATTTAGATCATCTTTCTCACCTCACAGGGCTTCACAAGTCACCAGAAGAAAGACAGATGAGTAACTCCCTCAGAACACCATGTCCTTCTGTCTGCTAATGTGAAATCATGCCTTCCAATTTTATATCTCACTCTAAGCCCCAGGGAGGGAGAGAACTGAAGTTGACTTTGTGTCTGAAAATTACTCAGGGAGATGGTTGTCTCCAGGGATCTTTAATAACTGCTAAGAACAAATAATGTGCTCTTTTAGCTAAAAATGAACTCAGCAACCTGCCAGACCAATTCACTTCCATATGCAAGATGTTATCTGGAATTAAATGGGCAAGCACTGCAGGGGAGAATATCAACACCTTCTAAGAGAACTCAAATTTATGCAATAGGTAATCTTATTTTCTGTCCAGAAAATAAGCTGGAATCAGAAAATGACTTCTGAATTATTATTATTCTCCCTTTAACTGTACTGAGGTCAGTTTCTTCTTAATTCTAAATTAAAGCTCTGTTCCATATACATGTGTATATGTATATGTATACATATATAGATATATTTGGCAATGGTGGGGTTTGTCAGTAAGTGGGCTTTGCACTTGCTAGGCAGCCCTTTACCACTTGAGTCAACCCTCCACCCTTTTTGCTATGGTTATTTTTCAAATAAGTTCTCACTTACCTTACAGGAAAAACCACCAAGAAGAGGCAAAACTTTGATTCCTCCACACCTCCAGCCTAGGCATAACATCTCCACTTCACGTTAAATGGAGAAACCAGGAGGGCTCCAGCGCTGATGCCATACAGCAGCGCCCAGACGGCTTGGGAAGACGTGGACCACAGGGTGAGCTAAGCGGGACATGGTACTCCCACAGACAACCCTGGGCCAGATCAGCATAGCCCCCCGGACAGACAAACCCCCACCCATGGAAAAAAGAAAAAAAAACTGAATAATAAGCAATAACAACAAAAAGACACATAGCAAAGAGGGTGGAGTGCCCTGAGTGCTGAAGAGGGGTGAGGGGAAATCCCTCACAACAAGCCAGCCGGAGAAGGCAGGAGTGGTGGCACACACCCAGTAATCAGGAGCGGGAAAGCTTGTAAAAGTGGCGGTGGGAGGAAAACTCCACAGGAGAGGGGGGAAGACCCACTTCCCACGTTAACTGTAAATAAACACGTCGTTGTGAGAAAGCAGGTGCAGTGTCATCTCCCTCTGTGTGCTTGGAAAAGGGAAAGCTTGTAGCAGTGGAGGTCCTGACCAGGAGAACTCTGAGTAAACAGAGCCTGCAGGGCCAGGTGAGTGTTAAGCTCGCTCCTGAAATCTGCATAAATAAAGCCTCCAGCAAGGCAGGCTGACAGCAGCAGGCAGGTGAGCCACAGCCACAGATAGCCATTCACAGAACTGTCTCCAGACTCTTTTTTCTTTCTCCCTACCTTTGATGAGACAACAATCAAACTACACCTGCATGCTGAAAAACTTATTGAAACTTTATTGCATTTGAACTTGGGACACTTTGTGTTTTTTTTTGTTTTGTGTTGTTTTGTTTTTTTCCACTTTGATGAGACAAAGACAGAACTACTTCTGAGACACCATCTCCAGGATTGGAAGCTGAGGGACTAACACCAAAATTATTAAGACTGAGACTTTATTGCATTTGAACT